TGCTCACTCCTCCATGGCACCCGATCCCACCTCTGTTTTGGAGGTCCGTGTTTGCTCTGCTCCTAATTTGTATTGTTTTATGGACTTTTGATCTTGACTACTGTTCGTTATCGCCATATATTTTATTTCACGCATAAGATTTAGCACAAATTCTGATTCATTTGAATACAATATATGTCTGCTAATAACGGGGCGCAATTGGTACCCATGGGAATTCCAATAAATTGTTGATAAACCTGGTCTCCAAAAGCAACATAGATATTGTCAATCAGAAACTCAAGCATCTTTTTTATGTGAACTTCAGAGTACTTGATAGTTTTGTGTACAATCAAATCTTGCGCCGTAAATTTCGCATTTTTTGCATTACGGGATCTGAAGCGTTATGGCCAAGGACTAATATATAAAACCATAACGCTTACAGTTCTCCAGCCTTTCGTAAACAATGCTTTAAAAGACAGATGTCCCATTTTTTTTCAGACCAGCGAGCTACAATTCTGCAGCTAAGTGTAGAACTGAAGAAAGAAAAGTAACAGGATTTTCTCCCCTATCTTCTAATCTTCATTATCTTAGTTTGATTTTGTGGATCTTTTTAGAGAAATAATATTTGGTACAAACCTTACAATGTAAATCACATTTAATATTAATTCAGACAGATTTTTTTTGCACAAACGAAGCATTCGAAATTTCGACGCAATTTTCTCTATTTAAAACCACGGACTATTGATATGCCTGTGTAATATCATAGTCCCTAATGTGGGTCGAGATTTAGGATGATGTACTAGTATCCGTGGACTATACAACAAATGACCCCCGAATTATAAACAGAAAAGGTAAACAGCAATACATCCACACGATGAAAGGTAATTGCTTTGAATACCGCTATATGATAAAATATCATAGTATTTTTTCATTCGAATTTACTAAATCTGTCTGATTTCAGAATATATCATAGAAAACAATTCACTAACCATAACAGATGAAGCAAAGCGATGTTTCATTGAGGATGGATGTATTATTGTAAGGTATATACAGGTACTTCGTAGAGCCTCCGTTCATCAAATGAGGATTTAAAAAAAATACTAGTTAAAAGAAAAAAAAATGAAAGGGTTACATACATAAAAACAGACAGTAGTATTTCAACTGTTTTAAAAGGACGCAGATCTTGCAATTACATCTAATTTCATTGCCAAGATGTTAATGATTTGATTTCAGAGGTTTACTAAGTAAGGCAGAACTGCTAAAAGTGGAGAAAGCCGTCGAAAACCCAGAACTTCTAAAACACCAGTATGGAGTACGTTTGTCTAATCATGTTTTAATCAGTTTAAAGTACGTCTGTCTAACCATGTTTTGCTTAGTTTGTCTTTACACTTAAAATGGTAATTTTTACTTCTCTGTGTTTTATTTTCCAGAGACCAGACAAGAATGGGAAAGAACCAAAACTGGTTCTTTGGCAGCATCCGGGAAATGACGTCACTGGTATTGTTGCACGCTCTGAGAAAGTTGCCAAGACATGTGAAGAGGTGAGTTAACGATTTACTAGTATTTCAATGAATTCATTATTATACAAAATTAATGTGTATAAATCGGTTAATTTTCAGTTACTAGAGGGAGAGGTTTACCATTACCACACCAAATTAATTGCCAAGGAACCATATATAGGAGGTACTTTTGAATGGCACCAAGATTATGGGTAAGTCTGGTATTAGTGGATACAGTGTATTTATATTCTGTACTATGCTCAGTGACGTCATATTTAACCAGGTACTGGTATAAGTACGGCTGTATGTTCCCTGATATGATGACGGTCTTTGTAGCATTGGATGATTGCAAGAAAGAAAACGGTTGTTTGCAGGTAAGTTGTTTAAAACTTGTTTTATTTGTAATTACTAGTATATGCTATTTGTCTTCTTTGATTTTTTGTTTGATGAATTGTAATGCATTTTACCTTCAAAAAGGTTTTGAAAGGGTCACACAAATGTGGCCGAATTGACCACTTAATAGTCGGGGAGCAAACTGGCGCGGACGTAAACCGAGTCAAGGAGATCGAGAAAGTTTGCGATTTGATTCACGTGGAACTGAAGGCAGGTGAGGGATGTGATTAGAATTGACATCATTATATTTCTACTATTAAGTCTGCCCTTCATAACTAATTAAAAACATTTTGTACAGATTAGAAGACTTGTTTTGCAGGCGATGCCCTGTTCTTCCATTGCAATGTACTTCACACCAGCAGTGACAATACGAGTAAGAACATGAGACGAGCTCTCGTTATAGCCTACAACAGAGCGTCCAATGATCCAGGCCCACACGAAAAACATCCAGGATACACACCACTCCACATTGTAGGTACCATTCAGCTACTAGTATAAATATAATTACTTGTTTTCAGTTTACCTTAAGTCTCATCTTTGCACCTACTTGCAGGTTGAAAATTCGGCAATAATGAAATGTGAAAACTATAGCGACTTCACAGAAAAAGACTTCTGGCTCAAACAACCACAAGTGTGATTAGTTAAAATGAAATATGCTTGAAAAAAGTCATTCTTATATTTTTTATTCCTAGACAAATCTATTCGAACAGGAAAATCATTGCAAGATTAACTTACTAATAAAAAATAAAAATATAACAAATGTTGAGTTTTTCATTTTGTTTTGATTTTTTTTGCTTTATTATCTCACTTTCATAGACAGCTTCAATGTATCAAAAGATTTTATTGATAATTTAAGAGGCTCGTCGAATGGCCCACGTCATCTGATACGTCAGTGCTGCGTCACTGTAAGAACTCTTAATCAATGAGGGATCATTCGTGCGGACAGCTTTCAGAAATGTTCCTAGTTCAGTGAGATACGAATCATCGGTAGGAAAGGTAAAGTCCTGGTCCTTATTTGGCTCCTCGTTTTTTAGACTTCGTACCCTTAGGATACAGTCCTTTTCGTAAGGTTCAATAAGGGATAGTTTGAGACCATCTAGCTGAACGTCAATATTGGCTTCGTACCTTGTTCCCGGTAGAGCTACTGAGTGCATTAAGGTACCTAATCCCCCGTCCTTGAATCGCCAGTGACTCATTGTTACTCGAGGGATTCTTCTTTCAGGAGTTATGTCGTCCTCTGCTTCACTAGGAACGTAAACTAGATGTCCAGCGCCACTGGGATCAGAGTCCTTCAGCAGAAGAGTGTGTATTGTAGGGAGATCTACGTCACTGACGACAAACCGCGCCAAATCGCAGAAGTGAGTGGCCTGCTCCACGATTGGTCCTCCGCTAAAGTCCTCATTGAACCAATACTTGTTAATAGCTTTGGTGTAGGCAAAATAGTACCTCGCATTGAACGCCATCACCTTTCCACCATGTTTCGTTATTAGCTCCTTCATTTTGAGTATACCTGCATGATATCTGGAATACATAATGATAAAGACGTTGAACTAACTTTGTGCAATTGCCATGTTTAAAATTGATTGATATGCAATATTGATTTGCTGTATTACAGAAGACTACCTGAACATATATCCGACACAGACTATTACTTTCTTTTCTTTGCATGTCTCTGTAACGGCTTTGGCGTAGCTCATAAAATCCTCCGGTGGCAGGACCGACAAAGGTTTCTCCACAAACACGTGTATTCCCACACGTGCGAACTGGAGCTCGAGGTCTTTACCCTCTGAGAATGACCCACGGTAAGCCGGAGGAATCCCTATCAACACAGCATCCGGTTTTAACTCAATGAGTTCTTTGTAATTTTTAAAGATTTTGCAGTTTTTGTAGAGATGACCATACTTTGCAGACGATTGTCGTTTTTCTAGAACGTTCCTTGCCAACTTTTCGTCCAGGTCCACAATACCGATGACATCAATGTCTCCCAGCTGTTCTAGGCGCGAGGCGTGGTCCCATGGCAGGTGTTGCCGACCGAAATTAATGGCGCCAGCGCCTATGAAGCCTATCTTAAGAGTAACCTGATCCGCCATCTGTAAAATCACTCTTATGGTTAATTTTCAAAATTCATCAAGCGAAATCTACAAAATTAATACTTTGACAAACCTGTCTTAGCTAAGTTTTTGGTCCAATCTTCTGCTGTCGGAGTTGATGGACTTTTAAATTCCCATACGTCCTTGATTAAATATTTCCGTTTCTCTGAAGATGACCCAGTTTTGTTCTATCATTGAAATGTTTGTTCTGATTGATATAGAGTCTGCATAAGAAATTTTATTCCTTGTGTTTGGAGGCCATCTTTTTACATTGTAAAATTATGCCAGCGCTGCGTATTTAAAACGAGGTCACTTGGATGGTAATAAAGCACAAGAGGGAGTCGTATAATTTTCTAATGTGGTGAGATGAAAGCTGAAAGGGACAAATTAATGTAATCCTCATTTTGTTATGTATTTAATACAGTTAACAACTGTATTTTTTGTAGTGAAATTAAACCTATAAGAAAAAATAAACCGACTGACAGAGAAAAAAAGGAACATATTCAAAATGCATCCGCTTATCGATCTCTTTGCAACAAAATATTTATTTTGAAAAAGGTAATGTCAACAAAGATGATAATGGGTAGTTTATATTTAGATACTGAATTCTAAAGAAATAAACACAAGATTGTCTAAATCTTTTTCAAGTTAAGTGTTTTGACGATTTGCGTAAGAGTTGTTCCACTTTGAAATCAAATGATGCATAGTTTGGCGATATAATGAATACCCGTATAACAGTAGAATTATAGACGCTGTAATTCAGAGGTGTATTTCTGCATTTGATGACCAGTAGGTTTCCAAGACATGTGTTAATTTTTGTATTGGTAAAGCATACCATGAAAAATCTTGAAAAAACTTGGACGGGTCAATCATAGAAAATGCTAAATACCGTGTCTTCACAATACAACAGCACAATTATGCTTTACACGATACTGCTTACAATATTTCTTTTTTTATCCTAAATATATATTATAAAGTAAGTAAATATCACATTATATGCAATATAAATATTATACACGCGGAAGGTTTGTTATTCCGGTCACTGATTTAAGATAACTTAAGGCCATTAGATAGGGATTTATGGACGTTGTCCTTGTGTCCCGTGGAGAGATAGCCTTAACAGTACACATAGGTCTCACATCAATTGGATCAAAATGTCGGGTAAGTCAAATCATTCCTACCTAGATTCTCCTTATTTTAATATTCTTGTTACAAAGAGTGTACATATAATATATGTACTCTGTAATATGTAATACAATTATAGAATATTGAAATCATATCTAAGAAGTAACGTCCGGTTGATGCTTCGATGTTTTTTAAACGTCTAAAAGATGTTTTATCACTCATGTTAATTAAGATGGCACCACTTGCCGGCGGGGGGCTGTAAATTGTTGTCGACACTTTGCGCCTTTTCAGCACTGTTAAAAGTATTTTCCCAGCACATATTGCGACGCGGGACCTCGAGGGTAAGTAAGGACCGGTTTCCTTATGCGACCGATCTTCCACGTCCCGCCGTGGGATTCGAATTCGCAACGTAAAGATCAACTCCATCGCTTGACCAGTTGATCGGTTGTAGACTAGAGTGAGCAATATACCACTGCGAGCAACCGAAGTTCTCGATAAAAACCATTATACATGTAACGTTATAATAGTTATTAAAGAATAAAGAGGGCCACAATAGCTATTATTCTGTAGTCTTCCTGTAAAATTTGAAGTTTACATTAATAGTAATTATAAGCAACCACGTTATAACCATAATTTTCAGTCCCGAAACTTAATAATCCCTTTCTTTACTTGGGGGAGCCTGGTAATTTCCAAAGTACATTAAAACCTGAGGAAATATTGTCTTAATTTTAAAGGTAAAAATGCAGTGATTAATATTGTAAAATGATCAACACCGAGGGAGCTACATTCTACAATCTATATCGCCATGATCATTATGGTACCGTTTGACAGCAGGATATCTTATTTATTATTTCATAAATAAAAAAAATATATCAATAAAACAATATGCAAACATATTTGAAAATTGAATAATATATTTTTTAAGCCATAAACTTTGAAATTACGGACCAAAGATTGAAAGAATATGAAGAAAATGGTTTCATTATCATAAGGTATGTAATATTTTTTCACAGCCAAAAAAAAAAACAACAAAAAACAAAAAAAAAAAACCCCCACAATTTTTATTAGAATTTTATTACAATCTTTTTTGAAACACAATAAAAATGATAAGCAACAATATACATGTACTAATATTCACTGTTCTTTTAAACAGGAATTTCTTCGATGAGGAAGAAGTGAGAAAGATGAAAAAATGTTTTGAAGAGACAGAAGAAATGGCCAACCAAAAGATATCGGTATTTTTATTTATTTGATGCAATTCATGAATCGCTTTTGAAATATCAATCTACACAAAATTTTTGTTGTTGAGATTTTAATTATCATAAGGTATGTCGTCTTTTCCTTAAACTTCAATAGGCAAGGAGAGGAATTGACGCGGTCAATATAAGAAATATTCTTATTCTCAAAAGGGCCCAGTCTTGAATGTGCACTTCATATTTAAAGTTAAAAACTACACCTTGTATTTCTTACAAATATACATCGAACATTGCTTCAAAAATTTTTCATTACAAAACTGAAAAAACAACAACTTTACATTGCCTGGATACCGAGTATCTGAAACCAAATCCTCTATCTTGTTTATGTTCTTCTTCACCGTACTGTGTATAACTATAGTCCTGCTGCACATGCTATTACAGGTGACGGAAATATAGTAGTTAGATCACTGTTTTTATACACAGTCATTCCACATGATAAATTAAAGTCCAGGCTTTTGATATCTTCGACAGCTGATTTTTTAAATAAAAATGAAACTTGTAAATTTACTTACCTTGTCATTGGTTATTTGCAAACTTATTTTGTTAAAACATTCTGATTGTACACGCAAGCACTCTGCTTTCCTTTAATTAATAACTGTCTTATTTTTCGATTTCATGATGTGATCAAATCGATTGGGCTGCGTGATAATTTGCATAAAAGGCGTTTATGCATAAAATTATCACGCAAGCCAATCGATTGAACATCTTCATGAAATTGAAAAATCTGACAGTTATTCCTTATATTTACATGCTTTGATTCCACCAATCAACGTGCTCCAAGCCCTAGCTGCTTTTGTCTAGTTGTTTGTTCCGCCCTGCACGAGGTTTTTTTTTTGGAACCGCGCCAATACATTGATGGGGAAATAAAGTACATTTACAATTTGTAATTTTATCTCGGACAAAGGCATTGGAAATGTAAATAATGTGTACCAATTGCGCCCCATTATTAGAATACCTATTTTTGTATTCATAGTAAGCAGAATTTGTGCAAAATCTAATGCGTTATAAGAAGAAAACACTTGGTGTGACCTTCAACTCGACATTTAGATATATCGACAACGTATTGTCAACGAACAATTGCAATTTTCATTCTTATGTCGATACGATTTGTCAAGGTGAACTTGAGATAAAAGATACAACCGAGTCTGACACATCTGTTTCATATTTGGATATTCTACTTGAAAAGGACGGTAATGGTAATCTAACAACCATGCTCTATGATAAATCTGATGACTTTAACTTTCTATCGTTAACTTCCCTTACTTATGCAGCGATATACCTTCGTCACTTGCATATGGAGTTTATGTATTTCAGTTGATTCTATACACAAGAGCATGTTCTACGTATGAACAATTTGTAAAACGAGGTAAATTATTGACAAACAATTGACAAAATAAGAATATCAGCAGTCTCGTATAAGTGCATCATTTCATAGGTTCTATGGTCGATACAATGACCTTGACAGTAAATACAATTTATCATTGAGTCAAATGCTGACTTGCGTTTTTCATACTAATTGTTAGTCCATTATAATACATTGAACTGACGACGGATTTTCCCGTTTCTTCCCGATCATGACAATGAGCACACGGCGGTTGTGACCGATCGGCAGGGGATGCTCACTCCTCCATGTCACATGATCCCACCTCTGATGTTTTGGAGGTCTGTGCTTGCTTTGTTCTTGTTTTGTATTCACTATTGTTTTATGGACTTTTGATCTTCAATACTGACAGATAGTCAGACCCAAATTAATTTCTTTCACAGGGAAAACAAGAGCAATTAATGTACACAGTATATGTTTCATAACTAAAGCATATCTTTAGAATGCAGTTATTAATATAAGGAAAAGAGCTGATTTGGCTGAGGTTTGACTCTTCAGCTAGCAGAAGAGAAAGTTTTCCTTCTGAGAGACGTGGCTCTAGAGTGAATCTTACCACTCCTTGCGGAAATCTAGTGATAGACTTCTGGGAGAAGTTTAACTCTAGTTCCAGACTTCCAAGGGGGGAAATCTGACCACGGGGGAAATCTCACTCTAAAACATTAACTCGTCACTTCTATCTTACTCGTCTACTTCTTGGATCATAAAGACTGCCTGGCAATGCTTATATAGACAACGTTGAAATGAAAAATACTGGTCAGAAAATCATAAAGCACCTCTGACTGACGAATAGACTTATCATTGTTTGCAGTATCAGTGGCTCTTTGAAGGGCTCGATTTGCAACTGACTTAAAAGAGTCTCTTATGTTTTACACGTACAATGATAGTATATCACGTTGTGAGTCCACTCAGTTCATGGTTTGATGAACTCTTGGTTCTTTCAACGTTCCCTTCCCTTGATTTTCTATCTTCGTTACACAATTATTCAATGTTCAAGTCATAACTTCAAAGGAAGAAATACACACCAATCCAATAAAATTCAAAGCATATATGTCAAAATTAATTTCCTACAGATGTATAAAAATCAATAAAATTTTGTGAGTGAACGTATTTTTTGTTTTTAACAGCTTGAAGATGGTTTGGGGAGGGATGTTGACATAACAGTGTGGAATAGTCCCGGAAGTGACGTCACTGGAATGGCGGCTAGGTCAGAAAAAGTTGTCAATGCTGCTGAAAAGGTGCTTGAATCGAAAGGATAATAAATTTCAATATTGTATGGTCCAACTTTTACCAGACCTGTTTACAAACAAATCAATCCAGGTGTTCAAATAAATGAATGATACATTATATATATAATTGATTACAGCTTCTTGGTAACCTTGAAGTTTATCATTACCACGGAAAGTTAGTGCAGAAAGAACCTAAATCAGGAGGATCGTGGTTGTGGCACCAAGACTACGGGTAACACGACCCCAGTCTTGAATTGATTAATGATTAAAATCCTATAATTGGTATTCAAACCTACATCTTATTTTGAGATGCTCTGCTACAAAATTTGTGTATATTTTTCATGATCTTTTGGGCTTAAATACTGTTCGTTATTTCCATTTACATGGTATTTCACTGTGCAAAATTGATTCTTAACTTAAGTTTAAAAGGTGGATATTGTATTCCTAAACAAGATATAAACAGTGTCTCTTTGGATGTTTAAGTTTTCGGTTGAAAGTAGAGTTAAATTTTTCATCATTTTTGCATTTTATGATATATATTAGTAACAATATTGGACTGATATAATTTTATATTAAAGTACTAGTATCTTAATGCATGCCCACTAAGAAAATATATAAAACTTCTTCGCCAGTTACTGGTACCGAAATGGTTGTCTCTTCCCTGAAATGCTAACTGTATTTATGGCAGTAGATAAATGTGACAAAACAAACGGATGTTTGAAGGTAAGAGGAAAATCCGCCAACTTAAATCTTCTTGATATTATTTTCATTTATATTAAAATAAAAGAAGAATTCTGATCAGATATTTTCTATATGTTCATCCAAGAGTATTTACTGGGGTCAAACAGAGAATACATGAGTTATCATGAAAATTCCCATTTCTGAACCAGACTTTCCGCCGTTGTCGATTTATGTTTCAGCACTTCCAGAAATCCATTGTTTTTTCTATTAATCGAACACGATTAATTTGAATTGACTATCAAACACTCACTTGTACAACTAAGGGAGAAAATTAAAAAGGCATATTGGTTTGCAGAAAATTGATGTAAATATTATGAATTTTCCACTGAAAGGTTCTGAAGGGTTCACACAAGTGTGGCCGGATTGACCACAGTATGGTGGCTGGTCAGACGGGGGCAGACATTGACAGAGTCAGAGAACTCAAAAAGAAACTTGAAGTTGTTTTCGTAGAACTGAACCCAGGTAACTTTTGCAAATCTTTCCTCCAGTACATTTGAAAACACATAATGGAGGTAAAGTTCATTTTAATCATGGTTGTTTATTGCTAGTCTAACACTTATAAGCAGTAGATTTGGAACAATATATATATTATTTCATAATATTATTTTAATCAAATATTCCAAGCTCTCTGATTGGCTTTAAGTTGGTCACATGATTTAGTATATAACACATATAGACTTGAGTTACTATTTATAGTAAAGGTAATTTTCTGTAAAACAAAAAATTAATAGGGAAGATTTCACAATTATAGCTAATACAGTTTATGACTTGATGTTTCTGAAAAAAAATATACATACTTCAACTTGTATTTAAAGTAATGTTCTGTAACTTATAGGACACAACAATGGCCTGAATTAGGATGTACATAATATGAGAACATATTTAATATCTTTGACTAAATTGATACAAAACATAATCAAAAAGATGTACCTTTGTAGTATTTTCAATTAGTAAATCCTCTAAATTATGTAAAAATCTAAAAATGTCAAGGAAGTTTAACACAGTTATATTAAACAACTTAATTTATTTTGATTTCTAGTCTCTAAGTGTTTAAGAGAGAAAACTTGTGGTTTGTTCCCATTTTTTCAAATTGTTTTTTTTTATCAACCTCTGTGAAAAATAATATAACAAATGTAGTCCTTTAATTCGGTCACTCCATAGATATATCGACTTCACAGAAAAGCATATCGACCTCGTACTTCGTGCTCGGGCGATATGCTTTTCTATGAAGTCAATATAATTTGGATCGACCTCATCAAAGGGCTATATTTATATAATATAATTTGATCATAGCCATAGCCTGGCCTTTCACAAAAACACCCACTATTTTCTAGACTGACCATTGCATCTTTTGCAAGTAAAAAAGATATATTACTGCGCTCTGTTGACGTTGTATTACTTTAAAGGTGACGTCCTGATGTTCGGTTGTAATCTGCTTCACTGCAGTGGGCCAAATAATTCCGACAGACGGCGCTGGGCGTATCTGATGTGTTATAATACACGTCATAACAACCCGGTCAAAGTTCACCACCACCCCTGCTACACACCTTTACAGAAGGTATTAACAAAAAAAAAAAAATAAATTCGATTCAGGTTTTCAAGCAAATGAAAAAATAAATTATAAAACTTCAAATACTTACGAGTATATTATGTAAACATTGCATGTGGTTAAGTGTAGCATGAATTATTTTCACCCAATGAATTATAAAGCGTAAACTAAGCCAAAACAAGTTATCATCATGTTGTAAATCTTGAATTTACTAAGGAGGGGGGGTGGGGTGGGTTAATACAAAATGTACAACATGATAAATTTGCATTCACCTCCCCCTAGTAAATTCAAAATTTACAACATGATATTATTTACTCCAATAATTTGGCTAAGAACTAGATTCTTTTAAAAAAATGTTTCTATTTTACCAGGTGCCAAATTCTGCAATCAAGGCTTGCGAAAATTACACAGATTTTTCAGGGAAAGCATTTATGGATAAAGATGTTAATGAGACAGTTAAAATCCATAAAAAGGAAAGTTAATTTTAAACTTTTTTATCAAATTGGAAAACCCTGGATTAAAAAAAAATTATTTCCAATTGTATTTCTATCCTTATGGATATTGGTTATCTATTTAATCCTCGGAATTTGTATTTAATCTGTTACATCCACACGTGTATTTCTTCTGTATTTTTATTCAAGGTATTGATGATTTAATCCATTATTTTAATTGTTAATTTTGTTTTTAGAATCATATAAACTGTTTTATATGTATTTGAATTATCGACATTTATTCTACATTTAGAAATATTTATATATACCTTCAAATGTACAATTGATAAGAATGCATTAGATGTTTAAATATATGACCATCGCCTTAACTTTTAGAATTTTGCTTACAATATGTTCAAAACATGAATGCTAGGACATGTTGAAGGGGTTTAAAGTGGCGAACGTTAAAGTTGACAACAAACAAACAAATAGATCAACAGACAAATAGACAAACAGACAAACAGACAGGACAAAAACAATATACGCCCTGGATCTATTGATCCGGGCGCATAAAATGTCTAAAACAGCTACGATAATAAAACTATGCATTTTGAGGAAACAAATTATTCAGAATCTAAATTCTAAATGTAAAACACACTAGCATGAAATCATTGCAATCGAATGATAAAGTCTTGCAATGCATAACCAAAAATTCAAGCGGCGCGTTGGATGGCCCATGTAAACTGATACGTAAGCGCTGCGTCAGAGTACGTACTCCTTATCAAAGAAGTATTATTTGTACGGATTGCTTTCATGAAAGCCTGTAGTTCCGTCAGATAACAGTCATCCGTCGGAAAAGTAAAGTCTTGGTCCTGATTCGGGTCTTTATTGTTTATGTTTCGAACCCTCAAAATACAATCTTTCCCATACGGTTCAATGAGAGACAGTTTGAGACCATCAAGCTGAACATCTATGTTTGTTTCGTATCTTCTCCCTGGAAGGACCGCCGAGTGACCAAGTGTGCCTAAACCACCGTCCTTAAATCGCCAGTGACTCATGGTTACTCGTGGGTTTCTTCGTTCAGGGGGTATTTCCTCCTCCTCGTGATTAGGGATGTGCGCCAAATGGCCGGCGCCACTTGGATCAGAGTCTTTGAGCTGGAGAGAGTGGACAGTAGAAAGATCTACGTCACTAACGATAAACCGCGCCAAATCGCAGAAGTGTGTAGCCTGCTCAATGATTGGTCCTCCGCTTAGATCGCCATTGAACCAGTATTTGCTGACGCCATCGGTGTAAGCAGCATAATATCTGGCATTTAACGCCATTATCTTGCCACCATGATTCTTTATTAGTTCTTTCATTTTGAGTATACCAGCATGGTATCTGTAAAGTATCATTTTTAAAGGTGTTAACATGAATATGATATCATCAAATGCCGAGACTAACTTTATCAGAAGAAGTAAAGGATCAGATGAGCAATTCAGATCAGAGTTTACTTTACTACTAGTTTTTCTTTTCCTGACTAAAATTCGACATTTTTGTTTACCTGAACATGTATCCAACAGACATTATCAAGTTATTATCCCTGCATGTCTCTGTAACAACTTTTGCATAGGGCATAAACTCCTCGGGGGGAACTACAGACAATGGTTTTTCCACAAACACGTGTATTCCTGCACATGCGAACTGAAGCTCGAGATCTTTCCCTTCTGAAGATGACCCTCTGAAAGAGGGAGGGATTCCTATGAATACTGCATCCGGTTGCATCGTAATAAGGTCTTTGTAGTTGCTAAGGATTTTGCAGTTCTTGTAATAATGACCATACTTTGCAGACGACTGTCGTTTTTGAAGAACATTTCTTGCCAACTTTTCATCCAGTTCAACGATGCCAATGACATCAATTCCCCCAAGTTGTTCCAGACGCGATGCGTGGTCCCAAGGCAAATTTGAACGACCAAAGTTAATCGCTCCAGCGCCCAAGAATCCTATTTTAAGAACCCTTGTTTCGGTCATCTAGAAATGTAATAAGTTCTAAATGAAATATATTAACTTATGAAATTTTGCATAAAATAAATATATACAATTAGACTCACCTTTTTAACTCAGTAGTTTTCCGCCAATCTGTCGTTTCCTATTTTGTACGATATTTATACATTAGTCAAGGATTCAAATAGTTTGGTCTCTATGAAGATGACCCAAATATGCCTAAATGCACACTCGTGTTTTATCATTTATAGTTTGTTTTTGACCGTGTTATTTTACTATTTGGAGATAATGTCTTTGCCACACAAGCATGAGTTTATGCATTTCAAGGCCAACAATCTGCAGCGTCTACGCAGAAATATCAAGGTCTTCATAAGAAATGTTTCCTGCAAAGGTCCTTAAAGGGACATGGACTCAGTTTCAGCTAAAAATTTTTCAACAAAACTTAACTAAGGTATTTTTAATGATATTCAAAATTTTGAATTTCAGTTGTTGCAATACAAGACAGATTTCGAGCTCTTAACCTTTGTTATGTAATCAAGGCCCGCGCCATGCTTTTGTTAACATAGGTTAAATATCCTGATATATATTCGTTCAAACCAGATTTTTTCAATATAGTTTATTCTAAATACTGTTAGACAGTTTCTAGTGATTTGTTGAATCTCGTTTTTTTATAACTGTGATATTCTCTCTAAGTAAACAAATAACACTGCACGAGCCGTGTTAACATTATGAAGAATTGTAAGTTCTGAATCTCCTTAGAAAAATCTACAAATGATTTTCAAATTTTTGCTGATAATTTCAATTGCTTTAATTGGGAATTGGAAACATAATTATTGGTTAAAAAATGAGTTTAAACTATGTCCATGTCTATTTAAAGTCTTCGGCTGAATTGATACCAACGTATAGGATTACAAATTAAGTAACAGATAGTTTCCTCGAGCCTGGACTGTGGCAACTCACTTTGAAAAAAATACGCACTTAAAAAAAAATTCAAAGTTTGTCAAATTTTGAATAAAAGAATTTACCCACTTTGAGTGGGTGCGTTAAGAGTGTACATCAATATTTTTCCACTATGGAGGCACTTACGGCACTTTGAAAATATACATAATTTTTCAGAGTACTTTGTAACACTGGACTTTAATTTGAAAACAAGTTGCAAGGCGGAACATTCCATCGCAAAGTGAAGGAAGCATTCATATCCCGATGCAATTTGCGTAACCTTCTTACAGCGCAAACTTACTCAAAAACGAACTCACTCGATTGTGTTTCTTTATTCCCTCCAACTCCATTGTGAGAGGATAATTAAAAGGGTATTTTTGAGGATTGCATTTTTTTCTATTGTCCAAATCAGTATCAAAAAAGCAACGCATTTGAAATCCTGAAAGGTAATATAAAGGAACACGGAAACACAAGGGATATACCTTAACTTGCGGGATAAAAATCATATTAAAAATATAATTTACTTGGTCAAGTGTTTTGCAAACCAATATATTAAATAAATGTTTCTTATAAAGATGATTTTAAGTGTTATATACAATATCGTGTTCTTTGAAAAAATGTAAAACCTGTGACATTTTGATAACTATCACTTCTTTCACCAGTAATATTACTTGACAGAGCTCTACCAAAATTTGGGGAAATCTGAACAGCAAATCTTCTAATGTTGTCTACGGAAAAGAATGTAATCTGTGTGGACTTGTTGGTGAAACCAAGGGATCACTTAATAAAAGAATATCAAGTAATCGATTTTAAATAAACCTCGGGGGTAAAAGATTTATCCCTTCACTGAGTACACCTTTCCGTAGACAACGAGAAGAATTTTGGATTAGAAAACTAGGGACAGCCTTTCCCTGTGGATGCAATGACGATGTCGATAGTGCTGGAAATCTTTCCAGTCCACAGTGTAACAATGTAAATGTGGTGGGACTTTTTAAACATACACAGAGACGTAAGCGTAGTCATGGGCATCACTCTTTCTATAGACCTTTAATACACGGTGTCTCTTTTCATTCATTATTACTACCTTATGTAAATCAACAATTAGGTCTACATCATATTCGCTCCAAACTTTTCTCTGTCCCTTTGAAACTTTGAATATTCTTCCTGAAAAGGCCAATTAAAACTCATTTTTTGATTCCTAGACACTAGAATATAGGCTCGGATCAGTGATTATGAATATTACAAATCATAGGCTTTTCAAACCCCCACGTTTTACTGAAGAAAATGCATCTGAAACAATCCGTCTTTTCCTTAAACTTCAATATCCCAATAAAGGATTAACGCGGTTAATATAAGAAATATTCTTAATTACAAAAGACTCCAATCTTGTATTCCACCATATTTCAAGTTAAAGACTACACCTTGTATTTCCTACAAATATACATCGACCATTGCTTCAAAACTTTTTAATTTCAAAAAACATTATATGGCCTGGATACCGAGTATTTGAAACATAATCCTCCATCGTGTTCATGTTCTTCTTCACCCTATAACTTGAGTTCCGCTGGGCACGTTATCACAGGTGACGTAAATATAGTTAATAATGAGGACCTTAGATCGCTTATTTTGAAAGGTCCTAAATATAGGGAACCCCGATCCTTCAACTGGCATCGGAATTACATAAAATTATGGATTCCGTTGAAGATTACGCCAGACGATGGGCAAGATGTGAAAAAGGACGTTGACTCTTTGTCAAATTGGATTAAATGTATCAGAAGATTCAGAACCATGCTGGAATTGCGTATTAAAAGATTGAGGGACAATATGAATACCATATATCCTTCAGTATTCAATAATCCAGTAGTCTTTGTTTGAAAGGCTCAACATATAAATTGTATTTTAGAAGAACTTGGATTTAATTTTACAAGTGACAATCCAACTTATACTCAAAGTTCCTTTTCTAAGGAAGAAATTCTTCAAAATCATATGTCAGTTTTATATATTTTTAATATTCCAAAAAACCAAAATAATTTTGAATTACCATACATATATTTTGGATTCTGAAACTTCATAAGAATCTTTACAAACAAAGATCCATTAGGGTTCCAGTAAATGTTCAACCAAGCCTCTTTCTTTACTCTTCACTAAGATATTAACAGTAGTGAATGAGAAACTTCAGGAGTACTGTGCAACAATATATTCAAGAAGTGGTGTGAATCAGAAGTGGATACTCCGAAATTCCAAAGAACTTGTGACAATTTGAAATCACAAGATTTTACCAACTTCAACAGCTTAAAAACTTACGACTTTTCATTTTTATACGCAACCATTCCCCACGATAAATTAATGTCCAGGCTTTAAAATATCATTGACAGCTGCCTTTTCAATAAAAATGGAACTTGTAAATTTACTTATCTGGTCATTTGCAAAATTATTTTGTTAAAAAACATCTGACTGCACACACAAGTACTCTGAAGTTGACACCAAAAAGATGCTTGAGTTTCTGATCGACAATATCAATGTGGTTTTTGTAGACCAGGTCTTCCAACAATCTATTGGAATCCCCATGGGTACCACTTGCGATCCGTTATTAGCAGACCTAATTTTATGTTCATATGAAGCAGAATTTGTGCATACTCTTATACGTGAAAAGAAGAAAACACTTGTTGTGGCCGTTAACTCGACATTTAGATATATCAACGACGTATTAACAATATATATCCTGGTGAGCTTGAAATACCACAGAGTCTGACACATTTACATTGTATTTCATACTTGTAAATTTTACTTGAAAAAGACGGTAATCTAACAATCAAGTTCTATGAAAAACGTGATGACTTTAATTTTTTCATTGTCAACTTCCCTTACTTATGCAGCAATATACCTTCATCACTTGCACACGGAGTTTATATATCTCAGTTGATTCGATACGTAAGAGATGCTCTGCGTATGAACAATTTCTAAAACAAGGTAAATTATTGACAAACAAGTTGATGAAACAAGAATATCAGCAGTCTCGTTTAAAGTCATCATTTCGTAAATTCTATGGTCGATACAATGACCTTGTGACCTTGTCAGCAAATACAATTTATCATTAAGTCAAATACTGACTGACGTTTTTCATACTAATTGTTAGTCCATTATTTATACACTGAATTAACGACGGATTTTCTCGTTATTTCCCGATCATGACAAGGAACATAGGGCGGATGTGACTGGTCGGCAGGGGATGCTCACTCTCCATGGCACTTGATGCCAACTCTGATATTTTGGAGGTTCGTATTTGCGCTTCTGTTTTGTATTTTTTTATGGACTCTGATATTGAATACTGTAGATCACTTAATTTTCGCGACACTTTATTTTCGCGAGATAGACATTGACTCCTTATTAGCGAGACAAAATTTTCACGAATAATGGTCATTGCTCTGTGTAATCTTAAGGAATTCTATTATACGCGAGAATGAAATTTTCGCGAGCATACAGTCTCGCGTAATTACGCGAAAATAAAGTTATCGCGAATAAAAAGTGATTTACAGTACTGTTCGTAATCTCCATGTGTTCCATACAAACATTTTTGAGAGAGAGAGAGAGAGAGAGAGAGAGAGAGAGAGAGAGAGAGAGAGAGAGAGAGAGAACATGCTAAATTAATGCAGCCATGTGAGTAGAAGGTAGTTTGCCTCATCATAACATTATTAAACCCTTGAAAAGATGAAAATGACAGAACGTCCCCAGTTGCAATGAAAAGTGCACAATGAGAAAGACATTCGAAGGCAATGAATAGTAATTTAGCTGTAATTAATTGAAACAATGTATTCAAATCTTCATGTGTTATTCTGACTAATATGATATTCTTTGATATAAATGATTTAATTTTTGGGCAATTGTGAACATTATAAAAACATTGCATGTTGTTGAGTGTAACATTGTAAATTTTCACCCCAAGAAAACCATTGTAAACCGAGACGCAGCATGTTCATGTGCCGCTGTGCATTTAAAATTAGGTCACACAAATGGAAACAAAACACAAAGGAGAGTCGTATAATCCGACTTAACTCAATACGAGTTAAGTCCCGTTATGGAGACAAATAGAAATAAAAAGTTCAGGGAAGATAACTCTCACTCAAATGCACTGACTTCATTTAGCCACATCCATTACGCATGTGCATTTGCTCTTCCTTTCCATCTTCCGTCATCCATTGAAGCTCAGCATCCAGTTTAGTCTCAACAATATTCATCTCCATCTTGTGTTCCTTTGACTGT